CTGCTGAACTTAAGCTTTAAATGGGTTGATATAAAATAAATCAATTTGTTTCTTCGGACTATATGATAAAGTAAATATCTCCCACCATCAAAGACTAATTAAGTCCCAGAACCGCAGGCTAAAGTTGTGATCAACTCACCAAACACTGAGGAGTCTGTCGTGTGCTGCTCCTGACAGGAAGTAAAGGCCATTGCTGTCAGGAGGCCGTGATGTGGCAAAGCGCAGGGTCGTCACGGCCGTGGAATGGCCTGTGAATTTCTGCAAAGATGATCACAGCAGAGATAATCAAGATCAGTTTTACCTGAGAGCCCACAGCACCAGCTTTATGCGTATTTATGAGGAGACTCACCCTGTAAACCTCCTTGGTCTCCAAATCCCACATCTTGATCACATGTCCAGCTGAGAGGAGCAGTTTCCCATCGGGGCTCACAGATAAACTGGTCACTGCAGCGCGGTCCGCTTTCCACTTACTGTGGGGAGACGACGTTAGCCATGAAACCAACCCAGACCAAAACCAGGATTTGCTAAGATACACGATAAAAACTTCAGCAACTGGTGATTATTTTACAAACTATTAATCTGTCGATTATTTTTTATTTTTTGATTAATCAGATTAAGAAGGTTTCTTAAAGAGGATGTTTTATGAAAATAAACCAGGTGAAACTAAAACTTGAGGGGTTCTGGGTAGAGCATATTGACAAATTAAATATTTTCTTATCTTAAAAAAAAAATATATATATATATTATAACTGAATTGTCCTGTCAGCTAAAGGCATGTTTTACAGTCTCTGTTCTCCAGTTAAATATTATTCGATTACCGTTCGTTGACAATTATTGGAATGATCGATGAATCACGTTTAATTGTTTCAGCTCTGCTTGAGAGAACTTTAAAGTTTTTCCTCATTTTTATGGCAAAAAAAACCTGCCAGTCTGCTTTCACTACTCTGGATAAAATTATGAGCAGATACGACTTTCTAAAGCAGTCTGGGGAAAAACAAATCAGTGTTTTTCTACAGTTAGTTTTTTTGATTGCAGATTTTGTAAAAAAATTTAACCTCGCTTGTAAAAAAATGATGGCGATGCTACAAGGGCCGATTTAAAACATTACAGGAAAACAGTTCTTAGGAGCAGATGAACAATTAGCTTAAAGAAAAAAACAAAACACAGATTTCCTTCACAGATGCAAATCCAGAATCAAACCAGTGTTTTCCTCTGCTTGTTCTTTAATTTATGATAATTTATGAAGAAACTTAACAGCTTATTAGAAAAATAAACTCTACAGGTGTAACTGCTCAATCTGTCACAGTGAGTGCATCTTATAAAACCTGCATATAAAGTCACCATAAACTTCAGAAAAAGGCTAAATTGTTAAACTTTAAGGGGAGTTAGTTAGTTTCTTTAGTAGGAAGCAGATAAAATAAATGACACCTTGGATGTTTCTTGCACTCAAACTTAAAACTGCTCCAATGTTTATAAGTGAAGCATAAGAGACAAACAGCCACAGAACTCAAAAGCTGCCCCTTTATGAGGCATTTTTCAAGGTGGTGGTTGTTTTTATTTCTATGTCTCAGAAAGAAAGTCCTCTTAATCCAAAGGAATACTTTAAAAACGTTTATTCACACTTTATCCACAGATGGCTGCTGATGTCAATGCTGGTTATTTTGGTTACACAAAGGAAAGGGAGGGAGGGTAGAGAACCCCTCCTAACCTTAAAGGTTCCTGCAGGTAAAATGCACCTTTGCCTAAATATCAGGGACACGATTTAGGATCAAATCATTCCCGTGTTTCCTGTTGGCTTTCCCAGCTCTTTCACTTAAGAAAAACTATCCAAACAACTTTAAAATTAAACAATCGGCAAATAAGATGCTAATTCCACAGACCAGGAAGAAAAGCTTAGAGCACATCTAAATAAATCATTTCTAAGCAAATCTTCTCTTTAAGCCAAGTTCTTCTCTTCTTCCATGTGTGTAATGACCATACAGCAAACACTGACCTCCGTGTTTTCCCGCTCTGCAAGTCCCACTCCACGATGTTTGTGTCGTCTGAGCCGCTGTATAATAAGCTGTCTTCAGGATGCCAGTGGACACAGTTCACTCCTCCACTGTGAGCTCCATCCTACCAAGGAGAAAATTATTCACAATTTAAACTCTGAAAAATTAAAAGGACACACCAACTCCTATAATATACAACAAAAAAATCTACAGGTCCGATTAATTGCAGAACATAAAATGTAAAAACATCATCATGTCCAAAATTTCGAAGCAGAAAGAGCATCTAAAGCTGAGCATTGCAGGTAGTTTTCTTCATGCTCATACAGCATCTAAAATAAAGATATTTTTTATTGTAATCAGGAAGAACGGAGTCCTCGGGTGAAGTTTCCGGTACGTACCAGAGTACAGTGCAGGGCTCCCTTGGCCGTACTGTAGATGAGGACAGTTCCAGCCGCTGTGCCCATAGCCAGCAGATCCGCCTTCTCCTCCACCTGCGCCGCCTCTGATTTCCTCTTCTTCCTCTGTGGCCCCTCCTGAAGATCATTTAGGTAACATATTGCATCTTACTGACAACTTTTAAAAGATTCATCAGGTATTAAACCATTAAACTGCTTCTAATTTTACATCCCCAACATTAAAGGTTGATCTAATTATCAAGATAAAAGTATTCAAACTACGGCTGCAACTAACCATTATTTTGCTAATTGAGGAATCTGTCAATATTTTTTTTCAATCAGATAGCAAAAGGATCCCTAAAAACATTTCTTTATAGAAACAAAGTGAAACAAAAACTTTTCTTCTTCAGGAGTTCTGGGTAGAGCATATTAACAGTTTGGAGAAAAAAAAATAATCTTAAATTGAAAATATTTATGCATTTTCTGCTGTTTTGGTACAGTTATTGCTGTAAGGTCGCTCCGTCATGCAAAGGCATGTTTTACAGTCTATATTCTAGTTTAATATTAATCGATTACTAAATAAGTTGAGAATAATTTCAATAATTGAAATTAATCTAATGAATTGTTTCAGCCCTAGTTCGAACCAAAACAAATTCAGAATTTAATAAATAAAGATTGATATGGAATGTAGAAACAGACGGATTAATTTCTATTATCTTTATAACAATATTTATTCCTTTCTTCAGCATTGCTGGACTCTATAGGATCATTAAAAGGGTTTTTAAAAAGTTTTTCCAGCTGTCATCAAACATCATCCTCTCCTCCAGACATCATTAATAAATCCATGATACAATCTTTGTTGCCATCTTTCCTTCTCTATACTCTTATTACAATAGAAATCACTTTATTGTCCCACAAAGGGGAAATTC